TGAAATATCCGAATATATAATATCCAACAATTCGGAACTATCATTTATAAAATAAATACCCTACATCGTTTTATTCAAATTAAACACACTAGAATACCACTAACATTAATTGTAATCACATTAATTTCAACATATATAATTTGTTTACTAATTTCTAAATTAAGAAAATATTGTGAAACCATTAAACCACGGCTTAGCCACATTTTAAAAACAAGTAATTTGTCCGATCAAGAAATCCCGCATGAAGAAATAATCAGAGCAGAATTAACAGCTCAATTAAACTCCATGACTGCACCACCATTTGAATCGGGACGCTTCAATTTAGAAAGGGGGGTGTTATCAAACTCATAAATTGCCTCACCAAATAGGCAATGTAAACATTATTTGCAAAACGCAGTAACCCCTGCTGAATGCGTCATGCCATTTCTTATCTTGTCTCCTAATTTCCCCTAACTCGTTTCTGATGATCCCCAAAAGATTATCCAGACTAAACATCAAGCTCTTCTTGTAAACATTCCCATAAATTTTCCATGGCCCAAGCCAGACCCAGACATAAACATTAGAGCCGACTCGCCGTCATCAGTCCGAATTTGATTGAGCTTCTGATCTTATCATTCTTCACCAATGACTCAACTATTGCATCAGCAAATTGTCCCTTTCTCTTAGAATTTCTTAGGGCAATTTTTTATTCTCTCCAAGTACCCTTTTGGGTTATTTCTCTTAAGCCGAGGTTTGTTGGTTATCTGGAAATTAAAAATTGGCAGTCTTATTCCGGGAGCAAGACTTTCACCTACAATCGGTCTAGCCGTAAGCGTTTAAATAAAGTTTGTGAAACAAATAAGAAATAATAAAAAAGTTTTTTAAAATAAAAATTAAAAAATAAAATAATTTTTTTTTTAAAAAGTGAACTTTGGGGTAATTTAATTTGTATTATTGTGATATAAAAATATATAAAATGATTGTGAATTTAATATAAAATTATGTTCTTAATATGCACAATAAACCATTGTTTTCAATTTTATTAAAAAGACGTCACTGAAGTATTTATAACAAGCTCGGCTGGTACACATCGTCTGCTCCAGCGTCTGATTTTTCACTTCTATGTACCTTTTGTACCTCTCATGTAAAATTTGGAAGTCAGGAAGGCGGTGCTGTCCGCGTAGGTGCCTGCCTTTATATTGGGGCTCCGCAGGACTGTGAGGTCGGCCTTGTAGGCGTTCCGAAAGAAGCCTCTCAGCATCTGATTGCAAACATGCTGTTCTTTAGAAATGATTCCAAGAAAAGGTAGAATGATCGGCAGTATTGTCTTGAGCTTAGGGAGACCGGTGTTGTCTTGAGCTATGGAGATCCGGTAAAAATTTTCCCTCGAATCTCGAATTGAAGACTTAACTTTTACATTTCCAGGTGCACCACGTTTTCCCCTTTTTGTGGGGACGAGAATAGCGTAAATGATGGGCGTCCTGTGCGTCCTTTTTTATCTGTGAACAAATCACGTCCATCAATATTGCAACATAAATATTTCAATATAATATTTCATGGTAAATAAGAAAAAAAGAAATTATTGCCTTCGCTTTGATAAGGTTAAGTCTTCCTTTACTTTTAAAGAAATGAGAGGAAGAGCGTCAGCTTTAAATTTTTGCCATTTTTCAGCGAATTATTCGAATAAATTCCGACGTAGTCTGCCACAATCTAAAAATTTATTCTATAAATGCATTAAATAAAACAAATTTAATGTATAAAAAACATTACCAATCTTTGCGCAAAAGTCAGCTCAAGAATGGGCAATTCCTCGAAAATGGAGCTAAGTGTAGCGTCCGAGGAAAAAAAACTTTTGCGCCTCTCAAAAGTAAGATCCAAAAGTAAGTTTGCCTCTTTACGAGGCTCAATATTGAACATCAGCCATATTTTGTTGGCCTCAAAATTTTAGTCTTGAAAAGTAAACGGTTTGGTAAGCGTATAACATTTTGCGATGGCCCTTGGAAAATCCAAAAATGGATTTTCAATTTTTAAGTAAAGCTTAAATACAAAATAAAGTTTTTCGTTTGTAAACTTCCAAATTGCAGTAGCTTCTGCAAGAATAAAAAAGTTTTTTTTAAAAAGTAGAGTTTTGAAAAAAATCGAAAATTTTTTTTTTCGCCTAAAAAATTCTTTAGGGTCTTAAAAATAACATATCAAAAGATAGAGTCCGGCCAAAGTGTCTAAGTGTCCAAATTTTCCATTCTGCGGCGATGTCTCACAGGTATATCCCACAGTACTTGAAACTTTAAACGCGTTTTTCTCGAAACCGCTTTTTTTGAGTCCGAACACATAACTCAAACAACTCTTAACCTATCGATCTAAAATTTTGACAGTATACTCAGAATACCTATGGCTATCGACACACGTAAGATTTTTTTTTTTTATTGCTTACTTTTTTTTATCAACAATTTTGTGACGTTTTTTGTTCGTGAAAATTGAAAATTTTGTTCAATCACTCACCATTTTGGGAAAAATCAATATATCGAAAAAATCCTACGTGTGTCGATAGCCGTTGATGTACAGAAACTAACCAAACTTGATTTTTTGTTTTAGATTAAAAATTAAGGACGTTAGGTGTTCGGCCATGGACCCCCTTTTAAAAAATAGGGCCTACGAATAAAGACGCAGAGCCGCCATTTTGTTTTCGATTTATTAAAAAAAAAATTTATTTTATACTTTAAATATAATATAATAAAACCTAATTTACAAATTTTCGATTGGCTTTTTCATTTGGCCAAAAAAAATTCCAGAAAATCCGTTTATTTCGCCTGTTACTCAGATGTCCCCCCTTAAATGATATGAATGAATGCATTTCTTTCTTAGTTTCCTTCTTACCTGAAATTTATTTGAGCAATTATTTTCAACGTTTGAAGTGGGGCGTAATTTACCTCCTGATAACTTTTTGTCCTTAGCCTTAAAATTATAAAATTTTCATTACAGCGAACCTCCTGCCTTTTTTCGGTGTTCTGCATATAATAGGTTTACTATAAATTAATATCTTTATTAATACCTTAATTTCTGTGTCAAACATCAGCTGATTTCCTCGGCTATTGCTGATAACAATTCATGCTTTGGTTGCACATTGTATAATAGAAAATATTCAGAACTCAACTATTTACTCAATACTTTGCGAAGCTCGTCTGATAATGTTTTAGTTTCCATAAAATATTTAATACCAGTCGCTTGTCCGGTGCTGTGAGGCAAGATTCTTGGTAAATCAATCTATTTATTATCAGATTAAAGTTACAAATTAAGATAAACGGAATTTGCAAATTATTCTTACATCATAATTGATGTAATCTGTGTTTATGCGAGGCTAAATTCACGCTTTCATTTCACGATTTCAGCCGATAAGCACGTGTGTGCATAACGCCATTCCGTGAAGTCGGCAACACACGAAACAGGGTTAGGGTTTTGAAAAACTATGGTAACGGCACAAAATATTAAAACTGAATACATTTTATGGTAAATTTTGCTAAACTTGTAAATTTAGAGAAGGATTAGTCATTTCGTTTCTATTTTTATTTCCAGGTCAAAAACATAAAATTTTACTTTAGTTTAATTTTTTAGCTAAATGAATAAAGCTATATGGATTTCTGTTTTCTAGTATGTACGATAGATGTATATATATTAAAGAAAAATTACAATTTTTACTCATTACCACGTTTTCTAATAAAAATACGTATTTGAACCCAAAGGAAAAATTCGTTTATATTATTTTTTCCATCACTGTATATACTTCATTGTGTTGGAGTTGAGTGCTTCTCCCTTTTACATATGTCTCTCGAGGACAATGTTTCCTTGTACTCTAGGAAAGCCTGGTATACGAATACAAAACGAATCTTAGTTTGATTGTTTCATTCCATTTAAACACATAATTAGATATGCATTTGAAAAGATTGTATTTACTCGGAATATTATCTACAAATTAAGCACAGCATTTCTAATTAGGGTATTTTGCTATAAAATTAAATGATTCTTTCAATTTGTAATTTTTTTTCAAAAAGAAGAAATGAAGTACTTCGGTAAGTGGAAAACTAGTGTGCTCCTTCGTTGGATATTCATTTATAGCTTGACCATTCTTCTCAGTTTTTCTATTTTTGGCCACGTCAGTGTCGGCTCGTTTTACCGACGATGTTTACCAGATCCTGGCCAAGGAGGATGCGGACAAAAACATAATATCCTCCCCTCTCTCCCTCGAAATTGTTATGGCCATGGTGTATATGGGAGCCAAAGGGAATACGGCTAAGGAAATGCAAACTGTTCTGAAACTGCCTGAAGATAGGAAAGAAGTGGCGAAGAAATACAGAGATTTCTTCACAAATCTTCATAATCGTGAGAGGGTTGCAATTCTTGAGCTGGCGAATCGCATTTATGTCAACGATAACAAGAAGTTATTGCCAGAGTTTAATAAGATCGTGGCTGACTCCTTCAAAGCCGAGGCAGTGCCCATTAGTGTACTTAATCCCAAATCTGCGGCAGCGACTATTAACTCTTGGGTCTCTGAGAATACGCGGAAAAAAATAACTGAAATTATCAATCCTGGCGATATAGATATGTATTTAATAGCGGTTCTTATAAATGCCATTTACTTTAAAGGCGAATGGAAGTATGCATTTAACAAAACTTATACTAAGAAGAAAATTTTCCGTACTTCTAACCAAGAACTTCAGGTGGATATGATGTCTCTAAAAGGCAAGTTCAAGGCCAATGCATTCGCCGACTTAGATGCCAAGGTTCTTGAACTTCCATATCGAAATTCAAGCCTCTCCATGCAAATATTCTTGCCAAACTCTATTAGCGGTCTCAGTAAATTGGAAAGCCAGATCGGAGGCTTCGACCGAGCTCTCCGTGAACAAGACGTGTACGTAGAAATTCCAAAATTTAAAATTGAGTTTGAAAAACAACTCGTCAAGGTACTTCAAAAGGTTGGTAGTTACCTATGTGATTAATCATTTTTATGACATAGTTTCTTTTATTAGTTGGGAATTAAATCAGTATTTGAAGAAACTGCTGACTTGAGTGGCATGGTGTCAGAAGGTGCAAGAGTCAGTAAAGTTCTACAAAAAGCATTTCTGGAAGTGAACGAGGAAGGTGCCGAAGCATCTGCTGCAACTGGTAAATATTTAAAAAAAATATACAATGACAATAATTCATTTTCAACATTTATTGCAAGCTGGTATTGTAAAGGGTCTTTCTTTGTGTGTGGGCTGTGAGACCACAATGAGATTTACAGCCGATCATCCCTTTGCCTTTTTAATTCGCGATGAGAAGACTATTTATTTCCAAGGACATTTTGTTAAGCCATAAAATATAAATAATGTTAACATTATATGGAATGATGCAAAAAGTAATTACTGTAAAAATTTCGATTTCTACAATAAATCTGTAAATTGGTTTTCAATGGTTTATTTTATGGTCCTCAATTAGGGCCCTATTCCAGGGGCATAGGAAATTACTCTGCCCGAGCTCTGAAACTACATTTTCTCAGCCTACTTTCGGCTATTAATGTATTTAGCTATTTCAGCTAAGACGTTCATCAACGTAATCATTTACTTTATCCTCCATTTAAGGTCAATTTAAAATAACCTTCAAAAAATAACAAGTTGAAGTTTCGGAAAAACAGTGACGATACCCATATTTTTGCCAATATTTACCCGATTCTTGAGCGGAGTATCTTAATGGATTTTTATATCGATTCTCCATCGATCTGCATCAAAATGAACAATCGATTACCATTTCCGATCGTTCAGTTATAAGGCAGCTGTAATATATAGTCGGCTTGCATAGCAAAAGAACTGGCTCGTATAGGCACCACTACACCACTCCAGCCCGAAATGAAGGGTGTTGATATTACCTTAGCCTCAAAAAAATTCGACTCTTATCTCAAATAAAAGAACATCCCAACTACTTAGCATGGATAGGACTCCAATCAGCACGGCAAACAGAGTCATCACGGGGCACTGGCTTGTGGGAACACATGCTAGGCAAATGAATTCATCCCATAATGACTACTGCCGCAGCTGCAGGAACGATCCAGTAAAACATCTTATTTTCCACTGCCCAGCAATTCAATCACTTAGACAGAAAACAGACTGTCTGTCTGTCTTTTCATCTGGGAAACAGACTCCTCATACACCTATATCCCAACAGGGTGAGCAAACTACTAACCTAGAAATCTTCAAAACACGGCAAGGGAAGACACTATATCGCAAGGGACCGAATAGGGCCTAAGTGTGTTAAGCCTGACCAAACCTAAAGTGTGGGTGAAACAAATGAGTAACGGGTATAATATAGTCGGAAAACTCGACTAGAGCCATGCTTTCTTTTTTTATTTGATAATTGAACGATCGAAAATGATAAAATGTAGGATTTTGCGGACGTAGAAGCTTGGGACTTAAAACTGGTCTTGAGTTAAAGTTTTATTATATAAAAAATTATTTTCATAATGAAATTCTCACTAGAATTGTCTAATTACATACGATATTTGCGATATATATCTAATCCGATTTATGTATGTATATCTTATATTATAAGATCTTATAATATAAACTGCCAATTCACTATAAAGATTTATCAATTTCGGCTGCGCTAAAAAAATTAATTTTTACTTTCCTTTCTCGTAGTTTATGAGCCTGATCTTTGAGTCAAATATAAAAAATTAAACTATTAAAATTTTTACATAATCCATAAAATTAATGTGGCCACTTTGAAATAATATTTTGGTATTTTGGACTTCGGAAAAAGCAACCAATTTTTTTTATGTGGAACAGTATAAAAAGGCCTCACTCTGAATACAATTTTCACTTGTCACTGAACTTTGACAAGGACAAGTCATCTCCTCTTTTTATTTTATTTATTTTTTTACCTTTTTAATTTTATTTTTTTCTTGTATTCATTTATTTTTAAAAATTTTAACTTAATATAAAACTCGATGGTTTTTTGCATTTTTGTGGAATTTTACATCCCAATAACGTTCTTCTTTGTCCTAATTTTTAAACAAATTTTTTTTTGTGATTTTATTTTTTCACACGATATTTATTTTATTTTTGGCGTGTGTCATTTAAACATTATTGAATAATAACATTTAAATTTAAATTTTTTTCAAATAAAGATTCCCAGCAAGTGTCAAGAAAGAAAGAAATTCATATGTCTTGTCATTTAAAATATTTGTGGTCTTTACACATTATCTTATATAATATTAATCACAAAATTATGAAGCATACAGAACAAACATTCATCATTTTAGTTTTTTTTTTTTTTTTAGCTTAATGGAATATTGAGTAATATGTTATAGTGTACTAATATTTTTTTGTGCTTGTCCTACGAACTACTTTTAACTTTAATTTTTGTTTAAGCCTTGACGTTTCAATTTGAATTTTATGGTGAACCCTTTAGTGGGCGTGGATAAATCTAGAAATGCAGCTCAGTCCCATTCGTTCGAGTGGCAAAGGTCCAGTGGGTGAGTCCGTTTCAGCCTCCTAGTGGTGTAGCTGTTGTCTAACAGGTTGATGGCCTCATGGTTGGGATGTCGATCCAGTCTCTCCACGTATCTGTTGGCGAATCGCTGAACTTCTGCTTTCACGGATGGGACTCGCAGTTGGGCGTGGATTGTTGCGTTATCGTGGTAGAGGTGAGCTCCGGTTATAGCTCTTAAAGCTTTGTTTTGGGCGATCTGGATGATATTTTGGCTGCTTAGACACGCCGTTCCCCATAGCTGGATACCATAGGTCCATACCATAGGCTTTACAATGGCTTTATATATAAGAAGCTTGACCCTTTGCTTCAGCCTGGACCTCCTTCCAATGAGCCAGTTGAGCTGACGTAGCTTGATCCGGATTTGCGTCCGTTTGCGCAGCAAGTGAGTTTTCCAGGTGAGCCCAGATATTTGGGTGTAGGGCTGGCTGGAATTGGGGTGCCTCCGAGACTGACTCCAGGACAGTCGCCTCTCCTCATTGTAAACGTCGTTTGGCCTGACTTCTCATGGTTGACGGCGATGTTCCACCTTCGAAGCCACGGGTCGAGGATGTCCAGCTGGCGTTGGAGTCGTGCAGAAGCCTCCTCTGGCAAGACTGAAGAGGCCAAAAATGCCGTGTCGTCGGCATATGTAGCCACTAGAAGGCCCTCCTCTTCAGCGACAGGCATGTCGGCTGTGTACATGGTGTACAGGATGGGACCAAGTACACTGCCCTGCGGAACTCCAGCTTCAATGGGCCTGTACTCCGATGTCGCATTTCCGCTTCTGACCCTGAACTTCCTGTCGGTCAAGTACGAGTTAAGGAAATCGTAATACTGTTGTGGCAGGTTCCTCTTGAGCTTCGCTTTTAGACCAGGGTGCCAGACCCTGTCAAACGCCTGCTTGACATCCAGGAAAACAGCACAGCAGTAATGTTTTCTTTCGAGGCTGTCCAGGATTTTTACCACGATCCTGTGGCATTGCTCGGGGGTGGAGTGGGAGCGCCTGAAACCAAACTGGTGATCTGGGATCAAACCAGCCTCGACCAGTACTGTCTGCAATCTGCGCAAAAATATTCTCTCGAGTATTTTGGAGATTACAGACAGTAAACTAATCGGCCTATGAGGCGAGATTAGTTTCAGGCTTTCCAGGCTTAGGGACCAGAATGACTTCCGCCTGTTTCCAGCAAGTGGGGAAGTGTCCACTCTCTAAGCACGCATTATAGATCCTTGTGAGCCTCCTTATTCCTGAAGGTGGGAGAAGCTTGACCGCGAGTGCCTCTATCCCATCTGCACCCGGAGATTTTTTGGCGTTGAGGCCTGACACCTCCTCCTTGACCTCTTCCTCCGATACGGGCTAAACTAACTTTTAGTAACTAAATTTTATCTGAAATATGTTTTTAAGTGTTCCCAGATGGTTTTCAAATGTTCAAATGTTTAAATGTTTTTAAATGTTCCGAGATGTTATTGGGCTCATAGACACAGCGAAGAAAATTAGATTAGCTATTTCGTCAAATCCTTCACTTTTTATACCCTTGCAGAGGGTATTATAATTTTGTTCAAAAGTGTGCAACGTAGTGAAGGAGACATCTCCGACCCTATAAAGTATATATAATATATAATATATATTATATATTCTTGATCAGGATCACCTCCTGAGTTGATATGAGCATGTCCGTCCGTCCGTCTGTCTGTCCGTTTCTACGCGAAGTAGTCTCTCAGTTTTGAAGCTATCGTCTTGAAACTTTGCACACACCCTTCTTTCCTTTGCACGCAGTATATAAGTCGGAACGGCCCGGATCGGCCGACTATATCTTATAGCTGCCATATAACTGAACGATCGAAAATGACCCAACTTTCGTGTTTTTGAAGATAGAAACTTAATACAGATTCTACTTTTGGCCAGTTGGTCCAACCTACCAAATTTCATTAGGATCGGCCGACTATATCCTATAGCTGCCATATAACTGAACGATCGGAAATGGTATTTAGTAGAAATATCAACTTTTGTGTTTTTGAAGATAGAAGCTTGGGACATTTTTTTAGATTTTTTATTTTAGTTAATTGGTTTTATTATGATGTAATCATAAGGATCGGCCAACTATATCCGATGTCTGCGATATATATCCGGTTTTAACTGCAAGGGTATATCAACTTCGGCTCCGCCCGAAGTTAGCTTTCCTTTCTTGTTTAAAATAAAAATGGCTTCCCATTCTTCGTTAAATGGGAATCCTTCTGCGATGGAATACTTAATGAATACGTGCAAGGGTTTTGAAGAAATTGGAATAGGGGCTTTGTAACTATAAAATAGCAGGTACTACCTTTTTTGATTGGTCGAATCGGAATAATAAATTTATATCACAGCAGCTAACAGATACACTACTGGCCAAAGTAATAAGTACACTCGTGTACGGTTTCTTTAACTTCTCGTAAAAGTCTTTTATTGATCATAAAGAAAAACTCTAATTTACATATAGCTTCTTTATATATATTAGATTATAAAAATAGTTAACATAGGCATTTTTCAATTCATTTATAAAGTTTGTGGTTGATTATATCTAAAAAACCTAAAAAAGGGTTGGTCAAAATAATAAGTACACCAATTCTACAAACTCAAAACTTAACAAACATTTTTTAACATTTTCTTGATTTCCTTAATCTATAACTAGTATCCAGTATATCCACCCTTATTTTGTACATCCTTGGCGATTCGTTTTGGCATACTAGCAATAAGCTTGCGACAAGTATCCACTGGAATGTCATACCAGGTTTTTTGGACCAATGTCCACAATTCTTCGGCATTTTGAAAAGTATTTGTTCCGATACGACGTTTTAAGTGCTTCCATAGGTTCTCTATCGGATTTAAGTCCGGAGACTGGCTTGGTCAACTCATAAGATTTCCTCCTATTTCGGTAAACCAAGCCTTGACCAGCTTTAAGACGT